CAACTGCGATGAACCCGTCAATGTAGGCTCCTAAATCTCTGTGAATTAATAAAAAGAGTTTAACTTTAGTAAACCAACAGTTAAAAATGAAAAAATAAATGAGACTCAACAACTGAACATCAACTTACATTTTAACAACATCCCCATCTTTTAATTTGATTTCAGGATCACTTCTAAGCGGTGAAAAATGGCAGATACAGTTATTAACAGATACACAGGTAGGAAAGGCTATTCCCTTCTTGATCTCCTTTTCTTTTTTGAAAACTTTGCCAGTTTCTTCGGTGAGAAGTTTATCACCAAGTTCACAGATCGTAAGGACACTTTCATCAGCCTTACACTTAGCAATCAATGCTTTCAAAACACCTACCAAAAAAGAGAAAGAGAAAAAAATGAGAATTATAAATTAACACAGTTCATTAGATGAATTTTTCTTGTGACCATACAGCGAAACAAAAGGGAAACGAATATAAATAGTAAAGGATGAAAAAATTATGAAAATGAACAAAAATTTAGTTAATCAAGACCAAGATAGTGCTAAGTCTGGAACACGTGTAAGATTATTGTGAAAACAGTCGAGTTTCAAGAATCAAGTTAACTTACGATTGACCATTTCGCCAGCCATTTTATATTTTGTGACAACAATATCCTGGGCAATGGTCTTCTCTCCTTCATCTGAATCTGCCATGGTAACTTTCTTTCAATTTTTAATTTAATGCAAAAATTAACTATAATTGATGAATTGAAAATTTCAATAAAACAACGCACGGCTGAAAAAAATAATGTAGTAAATTTTGTAACGCTAGAGGGCGCCTCAAATCGCGCTCACTCAATAAGCCAAAGAGTAAGAAGAGAGTTAACTTCAATGGAAAAAAGGCATCACAAAAAAGTTGAAAAAGTCACCCCTAGATGACGCTGAAGGAGGGAAGAAGTGGCTCAGGATATTGTTGTCACAAAATATATCATGGATGGCGACATGGTATGGCGCTGGTCACTGTGCTTTACAGTGAAAACACCTGATTTCAGCCTTCAGCGCCATTTAGGGGTGA